GTTGACGATCCTTTCATTTCTTCTTCTAACACTTTACTAGCTACTTGGATGGGATTCCTCACTCCTACAAAGCAAGGTTAAGTACAGTTATTATGATGCAATACTTTTATTAATGTGTTCCTTAAGTGAAATTATATGAGTTTCTCCCAATATCATTACCTGTGTTTGCTTTATTAACACAAGATGTTTTTCAGACATTTGTTTTGTTTCATAATTCATATTGTTCTGCATAATACAATAAACCATCATTCAACTGACCTTTTAAAGCACCAACAGCTCCAAATGTCAAGGACTGTCCATCCATGATACTTGCATCACATTCCACCGTACCCGATTTGGTGAGATTGGAGCCAATTCCTGCATTTGTGCAAGGAAAATCCTGAAAAAAAACACACACACACATGCACACTGTACAATAATAGTGAAGATCATCAAACTCCTTTCATTGTTTTTACTGTACCGAATTTTATTTAACAACCAACAAACCACATTACCAGGACAATACCAAAAGTCACTTACTCTACTTATGAATACTATCAATGTACCAAGCAGGTTAACAATGTGTAAATAATGTGAAATAGCTTAACAGTAGTGACACTTAAGTAATGTGATACACCACCTGATGATTATCTTGAATAAGAGCTAAAAGTAACCCATGCATACATGTACATTTGTACTCATGAGACAGCAAAGATCAAAGTTTTACACAGGCTGGTGTGAGACTTTTTGTGCACATAAGGTAAGAGATAACAGATACAGTTTCCTATCAAAACAATTCTGCAGAAGACTCTCTGGTGGCTCTTCCTGGTTTTACAGCATGCACCATACTATTGCCAAATAAAAAAAGGTGAAGTCTGTATCAGGGCAGTGGTCCATACAGCTGCCAGAGCTTATTCCAGTTTTTGTTCCATGACGTGACTAGGAGTATTTCTACTTCCCCCTAGATGGGAGGCAAGTCCATCACAGGGTTACTGCCAGCATTACATTTGTAGGTACCATTTAAAAACACCTGGATGGAGAAGGCCGTGTGAGTGTAAAGTGTCTTGCTCAAGAACACAATGCCATGATGCCCATCAGGACTAGAACTTGGACCACTTGATCTGGAGTGTAGCATGCTAACCATGATATAAAAGCCACCCCTGTACCAACATGCCACTTGACAAATGGACTGGCCAGTAATGAAAGTGTAACAACTGTGGAAGGCAAAGCTGTCAAGATCCTTGTTGGCCCTCCAATAAAAATGTTATCATTAACTCTGCTTCCCTCAACAACAACATCAACAACAACAACAACAACAACAAAACTTTCATTCGTTTTTCATTCATTTACAGCCATGAATTTCAGGTTAATGAGTTGTTTCTGTTGTTTTTATTACAAGCGTTACAAGTGTTACAACCTATTTTTGACTGGTTATCATTTACATATTATTGATACTAGGAGCTGAGACTAACTAGAGATAAGCTAAATGATGGATTATAATTAATCAGGCACCTTACTTCTTGCATTTCAATTAGCAAATTACATGTAAAACAGAAGCCACCAGAAAGTTGCAAAAAATAAGTCAAAAAGAAAACTTTCTCAAGTGGCAATGGTACAGCATGTCTTAGTATAAACAGTAATTTACATCTAAAAACAAAACATCAGTGGCTTTCTCCTGTCCAATCACAACAAAGGAAGGAAATGACAATGTGGGCAATGATATAGCATAGATTTAAAAAGAAAAATCCATGTAATATATTTCTGAATGAAAATGATGTCTATGTTAACAAATTACTTCATACCTCTAAAGTTGTTATAGCAATAGTAACAACGTCTTTGGCTGAGAAGCCTCTTTTGATAGCTTTCATAGCCTAGAAAGAAATTTACCTGTTGGGTTTCAAATTGCCTAGCTCATTCAATATAAAATGGTTCATTTAACCAGTACATGTATATACACACACTGTATGGAATGATGTAGAAGAGATGCTTTCATAAAAGTATGAAATTTTGTGGAAAATTCTGAAGTGACCTAACACATCCTTATGTCATGTCTATTAAGACAGAGGGATGATAAACGTTAAATGTGAGACTTTGCAAACCTGAGACATTTTGAATATCAAATTGCGAGAGTGAGACCAATGGGTATTTTAAATGCTAGCATGACACGTTTAGACTCTAAGATGTTCACACCACAGTTAAAACAAAAACAAACAGAGAGATTGCGACTTCTGGACTTCCTTAGCTTTGCAAAAAAACTGTGAAATGCACATAACCCCCCTAAGAAAATGAGACTGGAAAACCTGTGAATACAACTGGTATAAAAATGATACAAATTTTGCGAGATCTTCTGGTTTTTGAAGGAGCATTCATCACCCCTTGAAAGGTGCATTCATGTGTATTGTTATTGATACAGCCCATGTCCAGAAAACAGAACAAATGTGTTTTACGTAACACAAGGCATCGCACTATATATATATATATATATATATATATATATATATATATATATATATATATATAT